TGACGGGGCTGACCGCTCCGTGCTCCCTCCAGTCCCAGGAGGCCGGCGCAGGCTCCTGGGGGACCCTGGCTTGTTTCATGGGCCGCAGGGGGTCTGCGGCGAGGAGGGGGTTCAGGTACAGGGACTGGAACTCCTCCTCTGGGGGGCGACAGAGGCACGGCTGGATTAGTGACCCCACCAAGGATCCGTCCGTCAGGGTCAGGCTTAGGAAAGCGGGCTCTGGGTTCGAACAGCCGCCCGGCGGTTACCTGTGAGGTCACTGAACTTGGTGACCCCGTATTCAGCGGATCCCTGGTCCAGCGCCTGCAGCTTCCGGGCCGTCTCCAGATTGTCCGCAAAAATCCGGAACCTCCTGTGGGCTTCTGGGAGGAGAAGAGGGAGTGGTCAGAGGGGCACAGAGGGGGGGGGGGTAGGGGGCCAGTGTGAGCCCAGTGTGTTCAGGTGGGTAGTGTGTTCAGGGTGAGGGTGTGGTAAGTGTTCAGGGCCCCACAGATCCTACCCTCGGCTGTGTCATAGCTCTTGTTGTACTGGGTCACGAAGTCCTTGAACACTGACAGCAGGAGGGACGACTCATTCTGCACAGGAAAGAGGCCTGAAAAGGGCATCAGGGTGGACCTGCAGTCCAGCAGGGAGCTGGCTGACCAACTTCCTCTGCCACTGCAGCTGAGGGGGCTGGGTTACCTGCTCCAGGTGATCAGCTGGGACAGGGGAGACAGGTACGTTCTCCTTTTGGCTGGACTCTTCAGGAACATCTGGAACACACAAAGCACTGTGATGGAGAGCCGTCTGTCCGTCACAGTTCTGAGTAGGAAGTACAGTACAGTATATTTCACCAGCTGTGCAGTGTGCACTGGACAGATTCACCAGCTGTGCAGTATATACACTAAACACACCAGCTGTGCAGTGTGCACTGAACAGATTCACCAGCTGTGCAGTGTGCACTGAACAGATTCACCAGCTGTGCAGTATATACAGTAAACACACCAGCTGTGCAGTGTGCACTGGACAGATACACCAGCTGTGCAGTATATACAGTAAACACACCAG